AAGTCCAAAAGAATTTCACGGGTTGGGTTGTGACTCCTTTGTATCCAGGAACCATCCTTATCACATCAAAAGGAGCTGGCACTTCCTGGGGCTAGCATGTGTATCTCCCCTAACATGGAGAAGGGAAGGTGCTTCAAAATACAATGTATTTCATACTGAGCACCAGGAGATTGGTCAGGAATAGTGGAAGGCAGCTACCCAGTGGCACTAAGGGGAACTTTACTGCTCTCCCTTGGCAGGCTAAAGTCTGACCTCAGCTTGGAATCCTTAGGAGGCAAGAAGAACACTAAGATACTTCATACACATTTATAAACTTTCTCTGAGAAAGCAAAGATGCCCGCCAACTTATTTTCATGTGAACAAACATGGAACCAATCAATGCAATCACTTTTGCATCTATTCCAGCATTTCCCAAGTACTCTCATTCCTTTGTGCAACCTGGTAATCAGTGCCTGGGGACTGACATGTGCTGTTTACAGTTTTGAAGCTGTCTCCAGACCCCATCCTCACTAAGCCAAGCACTCCACTCCATAGCTGCATCTTAAGCATGCCAGGAACACATTTCCCTTTAAGACTTTTATCTGGCTCCAGGTTGCACCCTCCTAAGCCCCTCTCACACCTCTCCATTTAGTTATCCATTTTAAGAGCTAAGGAAAGGGCCAAGGATGTGGTTCAGTGATAGAGCGCTTGCCTAGCATGAATGAGGCACTGGGTTCGATCCCTGGCACCAAATAAAAATAAACAAATAAAATAAAGGTATTGTGTCCATCTACAACTAAAATAAATAAATAAAATAAATAGTTAAAAAAAGAGAGAGCTAAGGAAAATATTAAAGGTCTTCCCTGTCCGTTTGCCTGCCTGACTCACGCATCCTTAATGGAACATCTAAGGAATGCTGACTTCTCATGGGCTTGGCTCACTCACAAGAATTTAAGAGTCATTCACCTATCTCAAGTCTCCCACTTCCTTCCTTTGAAAATCTGGCCAGTCTTTGTGGGGGTTAAAGTGTCCTTGAGGGGATCGCTAGGTCATGCAGGTTGTTAGAATGGAGGTTTCTTTGTTCTAACTTGCATTTAAGGAGTCCCACTGGGCATGAGACTTTGGAATCTCACCTGTGGAGAGGACACTCTGCCTGGGACTTCCCAGTTGGGACCCTGAAAGGCTGCCCCAGGACTCTCCACCTACATGACTGGGGAGCTACATGATATTGAAGTTGATACCAGTCTCAGAGATCAGGAACAGGTCCTTGTTCCCCGGTGTTGAAAAATAAATACCTGGGCTGGGGATGTGACACAAGTGGTAGCGCGCTCACCTGGCATGCGTGGGGTTCAATCCTCAGCACCACATAAAAATAAAATAAAGATATTGTGTCCACCTAAAATTAAAAAATAAATATTAAAAAAAAGGAAATTAAATACTTGAGAAATGCCCAGGCAAGTGTAGAAAGCAAATTTTATTTAAGAAATAGCAACAAACTCCTCCAAAGACAAGGGGCCCTGAGCTGGGAGTGTGCAGGAGTGGGAGTGGGTATGCCTTGCTCTTTTATAGATCCCAGAATCATTCACCTTCTCTTTCTTCTCCACATCAGTGCCCAAGGGCAGGAAGGAGCAGGAGTATATTGTGCAGGAAGTGCAAACCCAATCCCATCCTGAAGGTTAGCTGTCAGCAACTCACTGCCTTCTGTTTGCTAACCAGTAATCATCCGCCATCATTCATTATCTCCACTGACTGCCAGACCTTTGCCCTCCGCCTCAGTTTGTTGAGGAATGTGACATATCCTGTCCTCGGACTGGGCAGGACTGCAGGCAGATTGCTATTTGGCAAAGAAAGCATGTGGGGAGTCAGTATAGTGGGCTCATTTTATAGAATTAACCTTGTGTTCTCACCATCCTCACCTATTTGTCCCTTTACAGTGTTTTCCCCAATCTGGTGATGTATTTTCTTCTCTTTCTCTCCTGCCTATCACTTTGGCTTTTGCTTCCATATTTTTACTGAAATAAATGCTATCTAATATTGTATAAAGAGTGTCTTTATTGT